TTGGTGGTTTTAAATTCATCTCAAATTTGTAATTCGAATACCGTCTGCTACATTCCATCAGGTTAGAAGTGGAAACAAATAGGATTTTATCACGCCATAAAATTCCATACATTAATTGACTACCATTTACCACCAAACAAACAAAGTGTTAGAGGCCAAGGGATGTTGAATGCTTCTGCCAACTAAGCTTAGAAGCATATAACCTCTTGGTTTCATTTCTTCAAACTAAAGCCTTAAAAACTTTAAGAAATCATTCTCAAATTGCTCCTTATGTGCTTTATATACTTTAGGAGGACTTGATTTTCTTATGTATACGATCTCTCTATTCTCCACATCAATCCCATATGGAATCTATATATACAAATGTATATATGTATAAATATAAATATATAAACATAAACATCTTTATAAGTGTGCCCAATAAATTTTGTTTTTCATTATTCTCCTATTACATAAGTTTATTAGTTGAGAACATGAATAATAATGCATTAGTTTAACAATTTTTATCCGAAGTTGACTTTTAATAGAAATAAAAAAAATACAATAAATTTTGTATTAATGACATTATAATTAGTAACTTTTTTGAAATTATAAAGAAAAGAAATTTTTTTATATAATCTTTTTCGTTACAGAAAACAGCCACATTTTATGGAACAAATAACTCTTAATTAATAAATAAGAAGATTGTTTAAAATATCCTAATTTTTTAGTCTAATCTTCTTATAAATAAGTTTTTTAAAAAAACTTATACCTCTTGCCAACTCCATATTATAATAGAGTGTCTATATTCGATAATTTGAACTAGGTCATGTGCTAGTATTCGGCGCATGCCTGCAAATAAGAATTCTTCGTCTGAGTCACAACCCCAAATGTCCAATTATCTTCACCTATAGATGTATCAACATTGAGTTTGATAGAGTCCCATTTGGAGGAGGAACCCATGGAACTATTTGCTAAAAAACTTACAAAGAGATGAGGGAGTCCAAAACCATTTTATTATTATTTTTTGGCCTAAATTAAATTTAAAATCAATTTAAGACTAAAGAGAGAAAAAATAAAAATAAAAAAAGACCCGCATAAACTTAAACTGTAGCCCAGTAAATATCCAAGCCCATAAGCAAAATCAATATTTAAAACTTTAAAAAAAAAATTATTGACCCGAATTAACCTTCTCGCTTTCACTGACCCGACCCGCTAACACGCACCCTTCTCTTCTCACGAACGACCAAAGCCCTCGAATCTTCTTCTTCCTTCATGCAGCGGCGAATTTCCTCCAGAGCCGTTCTTTCATTTTCCTCTCAAGAAAACCTAAAGCCTCTTTCTCCCACCTCATTCTCTCTGGTCGCTGGAATTTCTCTGCCTGCCATTTTTTTTGTTTCCCAAAAATCGAGTCTCCCCCTGGTTCGTGCAACATTTGAAGAATATCGAAACTAGAAACACTAAAAGGGAAAAAAAGAAAACAGCAATTAATCGCGCCTTCGATTTTCATTGCAATCAAATATTTCGATTCTTCAAGCAGGTAACGCTCTCAGCTCTGTTGTTTTGCTGTTCTCTTGTTTGTTCAATGGTAGTCTGAGACATATTTCGCAAGGTGAAGTCGTTAAAATACATGCTGCCATGAATATGCTATCAGTCCTTTTTTACTTTTCATTGGATTGTCTTAGGTCCGTTCTTATTCAGCAGCTCCCTTTGCTTCCATAGTACGTTTGCTCGCTCCCAATAATTTCTTTGATTATGAGCAAAACAAGTAGATACATGTATGTCCATTTCGTGTTTGTATTTGTTGTTTGCAAGGAACGAATCGGCACTACATCTGGTATCCTTTTTGCTTGCTTTGTTTATCTCTTATCGTTTTCTCTTTGTTTTCTTTTTCCTCTCACCTTGCAAGTTCTTCGTTCTGTTTGAACATTTGCGGTTTTTCATACTCCTGATTGTATATGTAGCTATACAAAGTTGCATTCTGATGTCGAAATTTTTATCTCGGCTAATTAATTTTTGGGTTAGATTCCATTCTATTGTTTTCCTGTTTCCAATACATATTTACTTCGACATGGATAAACTCTCGTATCTATATATTGTATCTATACATGTATTTATATGTTGTGTATATACATATTTATTTTGTTTCTATACCCACTCTTTGATCTGGAACATGTTATTTTGTTGTTCTCCTAGCTTTTTTGTTTCAATACCCAGATATGTCACTTGTCCTGTTTTTCTTTTGCCATGATCACATGAAACTTCATTAGTAAAAAGGTTGTTTCTGGTGTTGAGGGTTGCAACATGACTTTGCCTATTTTTATACTAATGTTTTGATTTTCGTAGATATATTTATTGGATCTGTGGGGGATGAAATTTTAGCTTTGGATGATTTTATTTACGTCTTGTACATTCTTTCTGGCTTGTTGCTTGTAGCATGATGAAGAAATCCTTCTCCAAAGGGTGTAAGATGTCGGACTGAGTAATATTTGAGTTGCCAACATAAGAATTTGGTACTACAAAAGGAGATTTTTAGGCATCAAATAAAGATCTGATTGAATCACACAACCAAGTATCTTAGAAACGTTAGCTTCTCCCCATAGTGAGATTATATAGGTATTTATAATGTCTAAAATAAAATCCTAATCCAATTTTACTATGGAATTCTAGTAAAGAAATAAGAATGAGAAGCATTTAAATTATAAATAAAATCTTAAAGGTAGTAACAACCCAACTATCCATACTATTACATCAGATTGTAGATTACTAGAGACATAGTTCCTAATCTATTTAGAAATTCTAAGTTCATCCATTCTGCATCAATATGGGCCTTTGAATCTTTTCCTGTATGTTAGTTTAGTGCTTTCGTTGGTTCTTCATACCATCTGAAACTCGTTGGTTCTTCATACTATCTGAAACTTAGTACTTCTTTATGATCAATAAGGAAGAAAAAGCCAGATGTAGGTAGGGCATAGGATGCTCATTCAGACAGATATCTACTATAAGATCAATGAGACTAATTAGATGGCACGGCATGGCATTCAAGTTTGCAACTTCGCTTTAAAATTAAGTAGTCTACTTTCTTGTCTCAAAATAAGCATAGCGAGGAAAATCTTGGTATATTGGATCAAAATATTGATCGACAATGGTGAATTGCAAAACAATAAATGCTATGCTTGCATTTCTGTGGCTATAAATGTTATTAGCAATTGGAGTGCTTTTACCCATTCAGTATGTGTTTCTTGCGCTTAATCCTTTTTAGATATTTCTTCACTGCATGTCTCATAAGCTGTTATGCTATTGCAGGTTTCTGGATTCTGAAGTGATCTATATTTTCCCTGAGATCCTGCATATTTGTCTGCCAATATTTGGAGATGGTATGCTAGCTGCCTTTTGTAGATCATGCAAAACTTCTCATCTATCATGTAACATAATGATCTTGTGGAATAACAATTTTCAAATTCTATCCTGTTGTTGTTGTTTTTTTTTTTTTTTAAATGGAGTGTGCTGCATAAGTCAAACTGTCATCATGTTCAGTTTGCCTTTCCTAATCCACCATTGAGTTTTCTGTGAGCTCTGTGGGAAATGCTCATGGGAACAACCAGCCTGGGTTCATGCTCTGGGATTAAGGTATCCAATGGCGTGATATGTTATGTTCCTATATTGGAACCATTATTATTACTATCTTTATTTTGGGGGTAGGTGTGCTAGTAAGAGTGATATATAAATAGGAAACATTATTGATCCCCATGTACTGTTGTCAGACACCTTACTCATGGTTCTGACAATGGAGAAAGAGAACAGAGAAAAGAGAGAGAGATAGTCGAACGCGAGAGAGAGAGAGAGAGAGTCGAACGCGAGAGAGAGAGAGAGAGAGTCAAACGCGAGAGAGAGAGAGAGAGAGAGACTGATTTAGAGAATTTTTCCTTGATGATTTATTCACCTCAGGGACAACTATTTATAGGCTCTGGTGGTGGGAACAGGAGCGTCTAACCTGGCCTGGAGGTTGCAACAGCCACAACTGGCCTGCAACTTGATTGGGTAAAGGCCCCGTTCACCCAAGTCCCTTCTGCTTTAATGCAACTCTCACATGCTGTTACAATCAAATGCTAATCCACCCTTGTACGAGATGAACCTTTTGCTGCTATACAGTTTTTTCCGATTTTATCCCTCTTTCTATAGTGAACTTTGGGTGGTTTGTTTACAACTGTTGAAGGAAATCACTCTGGAGAGAACATAGAGGCAAATTATGCCTTTACAGATTCTAGTGACTTTTGTGGAAAAATTGTTCCCAACCTGAAAATAACTGTTGAAAAATATCAGACATTTTTTAGGAATGCTGATGTTATGAAATTATCTCGCAGGCTGGGCTGCTTATGGAGTTTTATGCTCTTTTTTCTTTTTGAAATAAAAAATGTAGTGTGTATTCATTAATTACAGGCACCAAGGGGGTGGTAACTCATTTACAAAAGATATTTACACTTCAATAAGGTTACCAAAATCCTCCATAGAAAATAAAAAGTTACTGGTAACCAGACAATCCAAAATTTGATACCATCTATCCCTAACCTTATTAAATTCATCCTCCACCCCTTCAAAAGCTCATTTTGTTTCTTTCTTTCCACACTACCCCTTCAAAAGATATTCTGTTTTATGCTCTTTTAGGGTTAATGAAATGGATTGTGGCAAGCTATATCACTTGGTGAACTGGGAACCAGTTATACGTGATGAACTGACAAAGGAAATCCTTAAATCATGAAGTTAGTGGCTCCATACTGTCAAAAGGCTCACCTCAGAATTTTGTCTGCTTATGTTGAATTTCGGCATCATTGTTGTGGTCTGTCTTATCCAATTTTCATTCATTGTCATTCTTCCATCAAACCTAATTTTCCGGCATCATTGTTGTGGTCTGTCTTATCCAATTTTCATTCATTGTCATTCTTCCATCAAACCTAATTTTCCTTATGCACCATGTCTGGTATTAGTTCCCTCATTTGACCATTAGTTTGTTTTTAACCTTGAAATTAACTCATTTTATTATGTACTTTAAGAAGGATGTCACCAGTCTATCACTTGAATAGCATGATTGCTATTTCACTGATAGTCAGTGACATTACCTTTGCTTAAAGCGTTCATGTATTACATCATTGCATGGGTTCTCAATTGAAGAACTCTAAGAAAGTTTTAATTATCTGTTATTCATTTGCACACAGGCTGCCAAGATTCTTGCCAACTTGATCGTGATGGGTTCTGGAATACTCGCAAGGGCTATGGTTCAGGCTTACCGTCAGGCACTTGCAAGTAAGATATCTCTCTCCCATGCTTAATAATTTAAAGGTGTGAGGATCTGGGGCTCAGAAAAGCCGTTGTCCATGCAGAAATAATTTCTTGCTATTTTGGTTACATTACTGTTGTTTCAGCATAATATTTGTTCAGCCACCATTTACTATAGTGTTTACTGATTGCAGATGCATCAAAATCTGGTGTTGCTCAAGAAACAGTGCAGAATATCAGGAGAGTAAATAAAATAATGGCTGAACCAGAAGCAAGGCAGATACTTGGTGTAACTGAGCATTCATCATGGGAGGAGATTCTACAGGTGTAGTATTATATTTTATTTTTTCACAGTTCATGATATGGTTGATCTTCATGATGGGCCATGAATTAAAAAATAAAGAAATCTGTTTCAGAAATATGACAACTTGTTCGAACAGAATGCAAAGAATGGGAGCTTTTACCTCCAATCAAAGGTTCATCGAGCTAAAGAATGCTTGGAAGAAGTTTATCAAAAGAAAGGTCAGGGGACTACAGATGCATAACTGGGGGAGGTGATTGTGGTTACTCTTCACACTTGAATTGTAACCTCGAATATACAATTCTGATTTTTAGAAAATGAGGCAAAACTAAGTTTTATTACGTGGGAGTTGTATATGGAATGTGGTAGAGTCAAGTGGAGTATTAAATCTCTACAGCTGAAGATCCCATTGGGGGCTTGGGTTGGGTGTACACCTAGGAGGCCGGTATATAGATATAAACATGCTGATATTTGTTATGGTTAGGAAAAATAAGCACCTGACGATCTTCATAACTAAGCCTATTTTGCATCATTCACTGGCTAATTGGTAGTTGTAAGATATTGAATCTTTTTTGCAATTTTTTCCACTTTCTGATGTCATGAGGCAAGTTCTTTCCTTAGGCGATGGTATTGTTGGATACAAAAAATTGTACCTTTTATGTGGGCATACTGCCGTTATCATTATAAGGTCACAATAAACGTGACATTTTCTCTCGTAGTGTGATCTGTTGCAAGAATAAATATCTTCTTATTGTAGTGATTTGTGTGTGTATATATGTACATATATGAACTTTTCTTTGTTATCTGTAGTAGCTCTTTGAATGTCTTGGTGAATAATGATTCAAGTAGTTATAATATCTCTTATAATGTGTAAAGCAACGAGGGTCTTGTTGGTTTTCTTCTTTTTTGTTTTAATTTATGAAAAGGCAATTAGGAAATTGAAGCTTACCAAACATGTACTAGTGAGAAATGAGTATTTAATTGTAAAAAAAAAAAAAAAGGGGGGGGGGGGGGAAGAGTGACGAAAAGATTGTTGTAGACAGTAAAGATATGTTTTGAAGAGAAATAATTGTTTTACACTACAATTTCCAAGGAAAGAAAGAAAGGAGAGCGGTATGATTGTGTATGTTCTTCTTTATGAGTAAAAGGAATGAACAGCTCTGCGTTTCTTGAACAAGGTTAGGTTCTTTTCCATCAAACTTTTGCCCTTTCTAATCCTTGGTTCTTTGGAATGCTAAACGTAAAAACTTTCTAGCGTTTCCATTCTAGTTTACAATTATGAAACAGTAACTTTGTTTTGATATGTGTATATAATATATATATATGTATATGTATAGAAGAATTGGGAGGGAAGATATTTATTAAGTGAGATGGTCAACACTCGATTTTTGTGAACGGGGAAGAAGAAGAAGACGCGTTTTGTGTGATAAATAAAGGGACGAAATTAGTGAAGCCAAAATGTTGTCTGTCGGGGTGGGGAGTTTGCGTGTTGGAAGCTTTATAACCCAACAATAATTCCTCAGTCGCCCCCTGCCGGTTTCCATGACCCACAAATTCAACCCTTTCGATTTCTTTCACTTTCTTTTTTTTTTTTTTTTTGTTTGTTTGATTCTTTTTCTAATTCACAATAAATTATTATTTTAATTTTTAAATTATTGATTTGAATTCAACTTTTTATTATAATTTAAATTTATAAACAAATATTTCAAATTGGCGAGTTTTTTAGGACTATAAAATTTTAATAATGATCCACTTCAATATATATACTGTTTGTTTATAGGTCATCAGAAATTCACGTGTAATAATTATTCTTTGAATTTTTCTACTTTTCTATAATGATAAATTCTTCCAAATTTCTTTTTTTTTTTTTTTTGAAAAATCACGGTTTAAAATAATTTCATAAAATTTATATATAAATTTTTTAAAGTAAATTGGCAAGTTGTTTTTAGTTTATAACATCCCTATGTTTGTATATATATAAATTTAATTCATTTTCATTAAAATAAAGTGAAAAATATCAATCAGTTCATCTCACATTCTTTTGTTCAAACTTGAAAGCGAATTATCGGATGTTAAAATGCTGCACGTAACCACCACAAAAAAAGACATATAAGATATATATATATATATAAACTGTAGCTTTTTCGGCCTTTCACATATATAAATCCGTTAAATATTCTATACCTTTCCGCTTTCCTTTCACATATCACTAACATATTGCTATATATATATATATATCGTATAATTCAAGTTTTTATATCCATTCACTTGCAGACATGTTTGAGCTAAAAGGATATTTTCCATGCAGCTATATATGTACGTATAAAAGCTACCTCCTCTTATTTGCTTATGTTCTTAATCTCTTTTCCTTTTAATTACTATTATTATTATTCATCTCTCTCGCATTCACACTACCCACTACATATGACCTATATACATATATATCTATATATATATATATATATATCTTTTCCATTAACGTACATCAAACCCCCATATACATACATAACACCCGCACACACACACACACACACACATATATATATACATACACATCAAGGTGTTCTTGGTTTTGGAAGTATTAAAACCAGTACGGATATAACGTACATGTGGGTGTCTATATTCGTGCATACCATGCATATTCTTTCGTAAGTAAGCTTGTGTAAAGTAGGAAATAGTCAGGGTAAAAACAATAAAGGGTAGTTTTGTCTTTTAAATCATAAGAAATTAGAGTTAAAAGTCAGGTGAATGAAGAAACAAAAAGAATTAGACAATTACAATTTCCTGCTTATATATAAACTTATATTTAAGGAAGGAATGATATCGAACAATGTATTATTAAAACCAGAATATATTTTTTTCTCAAATCTCTCTTTGCTTTTTCTCCACTTTTTTTCCCTTTTCTTCCAGATTCGAACAATGTATTAGGTTCGTGACAACTTTGTACTCCAGTAATCAGTAAACATGTTTAATAACATCTTACTTAATCAAGCTAAGTGGTTACCAGTAAGATAATATATTAATGAAGATGCAAATAAATCAATGATTATTTCATGAAAACTTTCAACAAAGCAAACAAACTTAAGACAGTCAAACACGCAGACGTACAAAAAAAGAAAATAAAAGAAACATCTGAATTCTTAAACCAGCTGTAAGATCAGTTTTAGTTTGGAGCCGTGGAGATGAATGAGAAAACTGCAGGATATATATATATATATATATATATATATATATGGAGGGGTGGAGCTAGCCACAGTCATCTCTTCTATTTGTAGGAGGATGATGGTGAGAAGAAGTTCCATAATGAATAGAAAATCCTGCAAATTCTTGTTGCTGCTGTTGAGGTGTTGTGGAAGAAGAAGAAGATGAAGAGGTGGGTAAAGCCTCAGACACAAAGCCATAGTTAACAGCAGGATGAAAGAGATGATGTTGATGATACATGTTAGTTGGATATGTTAATGGTGATGGTGATGATGATGATGATGATGATGATGATGTAGTTGTGGTGTTTGGTCGTGAGTTGATCAAATGGCGATTTGTGAGGTAACCTAACTCAGTCCTGCCTTGAACTCTTTCTGGGAAGTTAAGCTTAGCTTTGCTGCCTTTGAACCTGAGAGCTGCTTCGTCGTAAGCCAACGCAGCAGCCTCCGCCGTGTCAAAAGTTCCCAGCCACACTCGAGCCGCCTTCTGAGGATCGCGTATCTCTGCTGCGAATTTCCCCCATGGCCTTTGTCTTACTCCTCTATAGTGTCTTCTTCTCACATTCCCTAAACATCATCATGCAAAATATCATCACTAATTTAATTAATCTGCCAAATATTATTTAATCAGATGATTAGTACTCTCTCTCTCTGTAAGATATTGTTGATTCTCATTGAACTGTACAATTTTCTTAAACAATTTTATTATAATAAGTGTTTATATCTCACATAATTAAAGAACAATTGTTTAAAAAATGGATGAATCAACTCTTTTATGATCTATGCATGTACATAAATATATATGTACACATCAAAACCTTAGATGTAGATCTCCATATATATGTTTGCTTAGGTTATTTAGATAAGTTTGAAGGCAATAATAGATATTATAATGTTGATGGGATATAAATTTAAAAGGTATATTTGAGGAATCTTTGTTAAAAGGAAAAAATTATTGTAACATACATATATAAGATAATTAACTGAGAAATTTATACAGTCACTTAATTTTGTTAAAATTAAAATTGATGTTGCACAAAATATGATATATTTATCATACTTAATTCATGCAGATTTTGTAAGCTTTTGTTCATAAAACTTAAACATTTGAGATAACTAACTTAATTAATGAAGTATTTATCTCTCAATAACATATTGCAAACATATATACATGTATGTATATGTGTATATATAGAACACCAGTAGATACATAAGTAGGATCTTATTTAAATTAAAGTTCAATGAAAGTAAGCTAGAAAATTAGAAAACTTAAACTAGGATGATTTAAGTAATTTTTCCTAAAAGAAACTTAGTGTGATTTAATTCTATACATGCAATCGTAGTACGTACAGACAAGGATCCTAATTGCTGGATCATAATTAACCTTTGCATATTTATCTATAATATGTACAAGTACGCATTGAGTTATATGTATTATTTTTATTGGAAAAACACACACACCCATATATATATATATATATATATATATATGGCTAACGAAAATTATTAATAAATAAGTACTGGACGCAATTAACAGTTAAGATAGATCACGAGTACACATATTCTATATGTACATAAATATATAGTTAATAATTAAATCAGGTAAAGCAGATATACATGAGAAGAGGTAACGATTGTTAAAACAGTAGCCAACCGTGTGATGTGTGTGTATATACATATATACATATATATTAGATGATATGTTTACCTTGATCTTGAGCAGGCAGAGGTTGCTGGGGGAGGCTTTGCTGGAGTTCGATGTGGGATGGGGAGGGAGTCTGTTGAAGTGGGTTAATTTGGGAGTCTCCCATAACTTGGGTTAAGACTGAAACCATTGCAGACATGTCCTGCTGTGATCGAGTTGAGTAGACAGGGAAGATGGCATCTTCATCTTCGTTTTCCTCCCTTTCCTCCCATGGAGGAATTTGCCTCTTCCCGTGTCTTCGATCCACTTTCACAACCCTTTAATCTTCCTCTTTATTAATCTACTTTTGATCTGCCAAAACCATGCAACAAAAAATTATTACATATACACGACAATATGTTTTTCTTCCCAAATCATCGCCCTCAGATATAAATCAAGAACAAGAAGTGCCCAAGATCAGATATCAATGGAGACAAAAAGAGGAAGTAGGGTTCTTTTGGTAGCTAGGGTTATATATATATATATATGTGTGTGTGTGTGTGTGTATGTGTACTATACTCTAGTAGTTAGCCCGGGTGTGAACAAACAGTAAGTTCGAAGAGAAAACGTCCATTTCAAGTTTTCTAAACACCTCTTATTTATTTATTTTTTCTGTCCTTTAATTAATTTGAGAGCCGAAAAGGAAGAACGTGCAGCCTACAATTATTCTTTCAACACCTACAAATTAATATATATTAAATACCAAATATTAAACAATGAAAGAAGATCTAACTATACATGTGAAATATGTTGAATATATACAAGGTAGTATTAAATGGTAAGTAATATTTAAATTAACAATGTGACCCAATTGTACTCATATATAAATGGATAAGCAAAGATTAATTAATTAAATTCCATTTCTCCTTCTTAATTTTCACATGTTACAATGTTGAAGAAGATATATGTAGTAATTTTGTTTTAGTTTTCATCATGTATGAACTAATATTTTATGATCATGATCACTTTTTGAACAATATATATATATATATATATATATCACTGTTGGAGTAAAATTTCTTTTCAAATTCCTAAATCTATTAAAATTAAACATACATTCTTATACTAAATTAAAGATAAATATAAGCGGAAGTGTACTTGAATCCATCGCAGAAAATTTGTTTGCGTCCAGCAGTAGGATCTTCCGAATCAACACGATACATTGAAACTAATATTTTCTGGTGATGGAGTTTTAGAAAAATAAAATTACAATCTTATGATTCAGGGATCATACCTGCATTTTATATCGATTAATTTTTCCAATTTCTATTTCGCCAATCATAAAATAAAAATATTATAAAAAATGTATCTGCACATTACAAACTCATTTTAAATCTAATGCATTAAAACCCAATATTATTTAATCATATTTGATCACTTTTAAACGATCTCATTAAATTAATAGTCTGATATGTATACCAAGGTCCACATTAAACCCACACGTTAGAAAAAATTCAACAATCTTCTACTTAAACTTTATGTGACACCTTACCTATGCGTTAATAACTGTAGGAGTACTCAGAACTGTGTTATCAATACTTAAATGCATCATCAAATAATCCCGTCCATCAGTAATAAAAATATAAGATCAAAATAGTGTTTGTTACAGTTAACGTAGCTAAATCCATCAATGGTCACGTATATCAGTATAACCGAATGACGTGGATCAGGCGTGGATGTGCAGTATAAAAATTATACGCTATGTGATCTAAGCATGTTTATTTTCAACTAATCTTGTCTTGACCTTAATGAGATCAACTGTAAAAAAATTCAAATATAATAATATACATAAACATAAATGCAAAAAACAAAAACTTAAGTGAAACCATATATACATAAACCAAATCGAAGTACATAATTTATGACATGTCTTACAAAATAAATGCAACTATGGCACAAGACTCCTACTGAAACTATACATCATCTATGGATATAACACTCATATGAACAGTGTGCTCATAAAAGACCTTAAGTAGTAATCTCTTAATGAGCGAATCCGCAATCATGGAGTTTGTTCCAATATACTCTATCGATATCTACTTACTCTGAACTCTTTCTTTAATAATGAGGAACTTAATATCTATATGTTTTGACTTCGTTGAACTTCTGTTGTTGTTAGAATACATAATTAGAGATTTATTGTTACAAAATAATTTTAATAGTCTTTCTATGTCATCAATAATATGCAGTCCAGTGTCAAAATTTCACGACTATATTCCATGATTGGTTGCCTCATAATAAGCCACAAACTCTGCTGTCATTGTAAAAGATGCTACAAGTGTTTGTTTAGCACTCTTCTAGAAAATAACTCCCCCAACAAGCAAGTAAATATAACCAGATGTAGATTTTCTATTATCTTGACATCTGACAAAATCAGAATTAGAATAACCAATGATCTTCAACTGATCTGACCTCCTATATTTGATCATATAACCTTTTGTTCTCTGTAGATATTGCATGACACGTTTGACTGCTTTCCAATGATCCATATCTGAATTGCTTAAATATCTACCTAACATCCCAACAATGTACATAATATCTGGATACGTACAAACCTATGCATACATAAGATTCCCTATAGCATAAGCATAAAGAATCTTTTTGCATCTCCGTAGTCTCTAAATTATTCTTGAAGCATTGACTTAGAGTAAACTTGTCTCCTTTAGACATAAAGGTGTCTTCTGGTTTATGATTTGCATGCTAAACCTTTTAAAAACTTTTTCAATATAGTTTTTCTGTGATAATTCAAGAATACTCTGAGAGCAATCTTCGTGTATCTGGATCTCTAATACAAAAGAGACATCCCCGAGATCTTTCATCTTAAATTTCGTTGTCAGAAATCTCTTAGTTTCGTGTAATAAGCTTCTATTACTGCTGACAAGCAGTATGTTACGACATATAAAATAAAAAAAAAATATTTACTCCCACTAAACTCATGGTATACACAATCTCCCACTAAATTTATCTTAAGACCAAACGAGATGAGATTTGATGAAATTTGTGATACCATTGACGGGAAGCCTGTTTAAGTTCATAGATGAATTTCTTTAGTTCACAAACCATTTGTTATGCATCTTTGGATTCAAAGTTTTCTGCTTGTACCATATAAATCATCTCATCAATATCACCATTGAGAAACACTGTCTTAATATCCATAAGATGTAACTCAAGATCAAAATATACCACTAAAGCCATTATAGTGCTGAAAGAGTCTTTCGACGAAATCGGAGAGAAAATATCTTTATAATCGATGTCTTCTTTCTATGTAGAACTCTTGGTGACAAGACGGACTTTATATCTCTCCACATTACCTTTTGAATCCCTCTTGATCTTAAATATCTATTTGCAACCAATAGGTTTCTCATCCTTAGGCAATGGAACAAGATTTCAAACTTCATTGTCCTTCATGCACTTTATCTCTTCATTTATAGTATCAATTCACCTGTGAGAGTTAGAACTTTTCATGGCTTGACAGAAGTTTATAGGATTATCTTCCACCATGCCAATGTCAAACTCATGTTCTTATAGATATATAATATAATCGTCTGGTATTACACTTCTTCTCTCTCTTGTGGATCTCTTTAATGACATAAGTTCTTATGAAGTTTGTGCTTAAGGAATAGTTTACTAAACAAGAACGGGAGATACTATAATATTATCTTGATTTAGAGTTGCTTCTTGAATAATGCTACGTATAAGAACCTAATCCTGATCATTGTCAATAGTACTTGAGAGAATAAGAATATTGACTCATTCCTCATAAAAAATAAGGTCACGAACTCTTTCTCCACTCGCAAACTCAACATTCTCAAAGAATTAGCCATCTTCTATCTTAACAATTATCTCAGTGGTAGAATAATAAAACTTGTAATCCCTGAATCGCTCAGAATGACTAACAAAATAACAACTAACGATCTTGGAGTTTAGTTTTTTTTTTGGTGGCCTATAAGGCCTAGCCTCAATTGTACATCCCCAAATGTGCAAATGTCTCAAACTAGACTTATTACCCGTACAAAGCTCATAAGGGGTCTTTATAGTTACTTTAGTTGGAACTCTATTGAATAAATATGTTACAGTCTTTAATGCTTCTCTCCAGAATGATTCAAGTAAGGTAGAATGATCAGTCATACTCATTACTATATTCTTAAGTATTTTGTTTCGCCTTTCAACAACACCATTCATGTTAGGAGAACTTGACATGGTATATTGTGGGACGATACCACATTCCTCTAGGAATCGCGTAAATGGCCCTGGACACTGTTCACCAGATCCGTCAAATCTACCATAGTATTCACTATCGCGGTTAAATCTAACAACCTTAATCATTTTGTTGAGTTGATTCTAAACTTTTGAATACATCTAGAGACTAGGATTTCTCATAAATGAAATATAAGTAGTTATATCTTGAATAATCATCTATGAACGTTATGAAATTTTGTTGACCATTCCAAGAAACCATATGGAACGGTCCACAAATATCTATATGAATAAATTCTAATACATCCATAGCTCTGTTGGCACCTAATCTCTTAATATTTGTCTGTTTTCTCTTGATAAAATGAATATATCTATTAAAATCTAAAAAATCAAAAGGATCTAGAATTCTATTTGACACAAGTCTCTCAATTCTCCTTTGGGAGATGTG